CATCAGTTGTGATCTCCTTCGTGGATTTTCCCAGTCTGCATCAAGCCTTTTTACTAGGCAACTACTAACACCAGAGTACACAATGAAACTGAGGATTTTATAATACTACTACTAAAATACTAAACTTATTTTTAATATTTTTCAAAAGCAAAAATAGATAGTAACAATAACAAGCCTTTTATTGGGGATCTATGCCCTAAACAGGATTCACCCAGGTGTATAATTGTTTAGAAAAGTTAATTATTTACAGATAATCGTTCATTTACATATCCATTTACATATTGCTTTCTTTCCTCAATGTTTCTTCTCTTGCGCAGCCCTGTAAAACTTGTACAGGGCCAATAAATTGGATTTATTCTTTGTTGTCCTAGACAACAGAGCCTCCAGAACAAGATGAGAAAAAATAGATAGAAGTACTAACAACACTTGGTTTGATTGATTAGATTCTATAAATGGGTTTTAAAATTCAACTTTAAAACAAGGTGAAACAAACTGTATTCAAAATTCTTTAATGGAGCCATATCAGCTTTCCAACCACCACTTGATCAATATGCTTACCTATGTATTTCTCTAACCAATCAGCAGCAAGAGGTGTACTTTACCGTTAGCGTATGCATCCGTGAGAGCTAACTATATCTGTTTTGGTGACAAAAAGAAAATGGACTGAGTCACCAAGATGGCGTTGAGAAGTAAAAGAGAACTGATCAGCAATGTAGGCACCATATAAATATAAAATAGATTATGGCATTTATATTATGGTGATAGCTGGGACTTTAGAAGAAAGTTTTTAATATTGGTATTTAAGCAAATTTTTTATACCTTTAAACGCTTTGAGGAATAGTAGAAATATATATATATTTATTATATAAAATAATTAGATTTTCTGTTGTATCTTGATTGTTGAGGATTATGGTAATGGTGATGCAGTCGTGGTTAAAATCTTGAAACTATAATAATAAAATAGTTTTGATCAGAGATTTCTTTATTTGAGCTAAGAAATATATATAAAACATAATTTGGTAAAAGTAATGCCTGGCTTAAGGCGAGTAGAATAAGAAAAACAAAAGATTATTTACATAATGTACAAAGATTTTGAGCCGGCCATTGGGATAAAACAACAACAAGTTTTTATAGGGGAAGAGTGACCTCTGGCGGTCGATTAAGCAGAATATTTGAATCTATGAAAATATGATTTTAAATAAAATAATACTTTAATATAATAATTTTAAATAAAATATTTTAATATAACATATATATTGTTCTGAAAATAGAACAATCCATATTTAAATCATTAGACCTGTAAGTAATGACTGGATAAAGATTGGCTTCAGCCAACAGAAATATTGGCAAATAAATCTTTTATTCAATCCAATATATGCCTTTTTATTATTTAATATGTATATAGATGAGCCATTCCAATATTTTCCTTATTGCAGTAGGGGCAGTATTGAGAAAGAAAACCCACGGCATAGTTCCAATACCTGCCTATAAATGGCAGTAAGATGTTTACAATATAGTGTGTGTGAGAGAGTTAGGAGACTTTCAGAATGACCAATAAGAATTGGTTCTGAACAATATTTAATAGCAATAAACAATTTTGACATGGATTACAAAGCAGCTTTTTAAATCTCTAACATGTATATATATAGCTGGTTTTATGATATTTTAGCAAACTCTTATATATTTTCTATTATAAGTATATATAAATAATAAAGGTAGTATATACACTCATAGACAAAACTTAAGGAAGTTGTTCCTTTTTAGCATGTATATTGGTATTTAGACAATAACTGTGAAAGATATTTGATACACAGTAACCTTTATTGAAGATAGATAAGATAACCAAGTGTGAACAAAATTACCTCGTTCTCCTTAAAAAAATAAAAGATGACTAGCGATATCAAAATATAAAACTTCCTTAAGTTTTGTCCATGAGTGTATATGGTAAAGTATATTGATTTAGTTTTGTTTTTATTTGCATATAGGTGTCTATTTACATATAGGTTTTAAATCTACATAGTTATAAGTAAGAGAAGATATTTGAAAGTATTGTTTTCTCTGGATGGATGTTTGTTGATGTCAACTTTACATGTCATATAGTGATGGACATTTGTCAACTCTCCTTGTATGGTATGATTCTACAAACTGACATTTTGGTGACTTACTGTCAACATTTTCATGGTAAAACGTACTTTGAAAAAGGTAAGGGGATTACTTTTTTTCTCTTGTCCCTCATTTTGGGTAGTATGCGTCTGCTGTTAATCTACAATAGAGCACTGTAGCAGTCCGACTTAGCTCCAAAGAGGTGACCGCCTCTAACATGAGAACAGACGTCACTGCAGCAGCTTCTAACATGAAGAACAGACGCTGCAATGAAAATAACTGAAATGTCACAGTTAATAAAATCTCACCGCACAAGGTGTTGACAAGTGTTATATCAGATCTATAGATCCAATATGCAACTATGATTTTCTCTACATTGTACTTAATGTTAGCCTTTCTCATGTCTTTCCCTGTACCTGAACTTTCTACAAATCACTTGTACTTAGTCATCCTATCTTGTTAGCAATACATTGTGAAAGTACCACAATACTGTAAAGAAAGAAACCAATATATATATTGAGAAAATTTTAGTTTACAAATTGATTGCGAGTTTTTTCATATTTGATAATGAATTCTATATATTGTTTTGATTTTCTATTATATAACCACTCTTATATTTTAACCTCTGTACTTATTGTGTTTGTTATGATTTGATCATTGTCATTTTTTACATTTGTGTATTTGCATAGTTTAAATTTATTTTTTATTTTTTAATATATATATCAAATTACATAACTATTTTAGACGCGTAATATTCTTTTTAAAATAAAACAATTTCTACTGCCCTTACTGCAATGGAAAAATTAAATTAAATTTAGGGCAGTAGAAATTGTTTTATTTTAAAAAGAATATTACGCATCTAAAATAGTTTTGTAATTTGATAACAGATGGCGCGCTAGTGCATCGAAGTAATATATATATATCTTGGGTATTTTTTTTTTTTTTTTTTTTAATATAGTAGAATCTCCCTGAATAGACTCCCTCGCTAGCAGACACCTATATACAAAGGATAGTTTTCATGGCCAGAAATACCATTTAGCTGATCTCTGGTTAGAACATGAGTCTCTCTAATAGGCACCCTCTCTATGCAACTAGGTGTTGTAAGAGATGGTGTCCATTCCACTCAAATACAGTAGAGATTGTCTCTAATAGACAACATCTAGTTTCACAACCAAAGTGTCCATTAGAGAGAGGTATCCTCTTACTGGAGAGTTGCTAATTAGTAAAAAATGGTATGATAAGGCACAATTTGGATTATAGATTAGAATTACAAGATCTTCTTCTTTCTTATCTCCATTCAATCATATTAGGGTATCAAGCTTGTAAAGCTTGAGACTTGACAACCATCATGACTGTGTGAAGTAGAATGCATCTGCCTTTGTCATTAAAACTGGGAGCACTACTCAGTGGCAGGTTGACTTAGCTCCAAAAGAAATGGCCGCCTCTGACATGAGGAACAGACACCAGAATTACAAGTTAATAAGACCAAACCCAAAAATTTACACACAATTAATTTATATTTGATCTTATTACCTTGTTGTAAAACTGGTAATTCTCTGATAATGAAAACTGTCGTTTGTAGAGAGGTGTCCTCTAGCGAGAGTGTCTGCTCATGGAACTACTACTGTTCTTCAGGTACTATAGTAACTCTTCCATACTCAACTCCCCTAATGCAATCTTACATCTGTGTATCTCTCTTTTTTTTTTTTACTCCAATACTCTCAGCTGTGAATGCTCTCTATTTCCATCCCTCTCCTATTTTTTAACAAGAATACAGTTAAACCTGTCTATAGTGCCCCCTCTAAATAGCGCCTCCCTCTCTATAGCGCCCGATTTTAAATACGTAGTACAATGCGATTTTTATTAAAAGTGACCTGTCTATAGCACCCCCTCTCTATAGCACCCTATTTTGGTGAGTCTCAAGAAGGAGCGCTATAGACAAGTTTAACTGTATTTGTATAGAGTTACTGATACTATTTTTTTTTTTTACTTTTTGGTGTTTTTTAAAAATGTTTTTATTTACTTGTTTTCTCTCTATATAGATTTTTCTCCATGTCGTTTTTTTATTCTTATATATATATAATTATTTTATATACAGTAGAACTACCTCCCTGTAAAGGACACCTAATTGTAAAGCCAAAGTGTCCTTTAGGGAGAGATGTCCTTTTACTGGAGAGTTGATAAATAGTAAAAATGGTAATTTTGCAAATGAAAACTGTCCATTGTAGAGAGGTGTCCACTAGTGGGATGTCCACTAAAGGGAGGTTCTACTGTATAAGACAAAAAAGCAATCACACTCAAAATAAACAAAATATAATCATTTAAAGAAGCCAATTTTTGATCTTATGGAATACTAAGAGAAATATTCAGGCTCTTTTCCATGCTTAATTAAAAAATATTTTTAATATTTATTTTCTATGTTAAATTAGATTTTAGATTTTTATTTATTTTTTATAGAGAGAGAGAGCATTTTTTTTTTTGTTTTAAGAAAGACCGTTTTTTTTTTAAGTTTAGTTAAAATTAAAACTTTGTAATTAGTCATTAAAATATAAATCCTTTTATCAAAATTTGTCGAAACATCTTTCTCTGTGCTATGTCATGAAAAGAAATACATCCTTTTTTTTGTCATTATATATTTATTTTTCAATTTTTTTAAATTATCCCCCTAGTACCTGTGGTACAGTCCACGATGATCATGGTGGGTAGTTAGAGACAGCTTTTACTCTTAAGTGCGCCAAATTTCAAATCTATAATCCAAATTATAAACACAAGGTAATAAGAACTAAATCCAAATAAATAGTGTGTGACATTTCGGTAACAGCATTATTAACGAAACATCACACACTATTTTTTTATTTGGTCTTATTACCTTGTGTTTATGATTTATAATCCAGATTGCCCAGATGAACTTCAGAGGTCCAGGGTGCAGGCTTCAAACCTGTCGCAGTTTAAAAGCGGAGTGGTTTGATTCTACATTCTGGTTGACTTATAATATGTGTGCCTAATTATAATCCAAATTTTACAATAAAGTATAATTTGGATTATAGATTATAGCTAGAATAAAATAAGACCAAATCCAAATAAATTAATAGTGTGTTACCTTTCGGTAACAGCGTTGTTATCGAAACGTCGCACACTATTAATTTATTTGGATTAGGTCTTATTTTCTTGTAATCAAATTTTACCTTTTTCACTATTGATTCTTTCATTGTTTTCTTGGTCTCTCTAACCATCATCTCAAAATTTCTTTCTTTCTCTTCAAATCACTTCTCAACCTTTTGGCTAAGATCAAAGTGTATCTCTCTCTCTTTAAAGCTGTACAGTTATACTTTACACAATGTTTTGTGTGTATATATTATATACAGTTAAACCTGTGCGCCCCCTCTAAATAGCGCCTCCCTCTCTATAGCGCCCAATTTTAAATACATAGTACAATGCGATTTACATTAAAAGTGACCTGTCTATAGCACCCCCCTCTATATAGCACCCTATATTGGTGAGTCCCAAGAGGGGATGCTATAGACAGGTTTGTTGTTGTTTCTTATCCCCTTGTGTAAAGATTACACGAATTCCATGAGTTCATGCTCCTCGAGTTGTTTTATGATGAGCAGCGGCCTCTCCCAAAGGTCCTGTTTAGTGCATCTAATGCAAGCCAAAATGTGTTCTGGAGCTGCAGGTGCCAAGCTACATTTTGGGCAAGTGGGGTAGATTTTGTTATTATTTTCTATCTTCAATGGCTTGAGATGGCCTGTTCTAAATATAGACAGGTTTAGGTAAAAGATTTGAAGCATACGAGGATATTTTTCTTTTAATCTTTAATATAGATTCAAGCTTTCGGGCGAAAACAGCCCTTCTACAGGAACATTAGAAAAACAATTTCAAATAGTAACGTTTGTAAACAAATAAATGGTATCTCTATTTGGTCTTGTATTGCGCGAGTGAATCTCACAGGTTTAACTGTATGAAAAGAAAAAAATCTCCATATATTTATATTTATAATGATTTGTGTGTGCTGCTGGCAATAAGTAATGATATAGAGAGTATTCAATCCCTTGTATCAATATTGAGTAAAATATCTCAGGCCTCCAGGGAAAAGTATCTTTTCAAAACATTTTTATTCTCTAGCTTTTGAGCACGAACACCCTTCTATGTTGTATCAGGTTTTCTCCTGTAGAAGGGTGTCCGTGCCCGAAAGCTAGGGAATAAAAATGTTTTGAAAAGATAATTTTCCATGGAGGCCTGATATATACAGTTAAACCTGTCTATAGCGCCCCTTCTAAATAGCACCTCCCTCTCTATAGCACCCGTAATAAAATTAGTAGTACGATGTGATTTATATTAAAAGTGATCTGTCTATAGCACCCTATTTTGGTGAGTCCCAAGAGGGGGAGCTATAGACAAGTTTAACTGTATTACTCAATTGAGAGTATAATATGTACAGTAAATGTAAAACTTCCAAATCATAAAGACATATCTAGAGGAATTAAAATGATAAGGCACAATTTGGATTATAGATTATAAACACAAGGTAATAAGACCAAATCCAAATAAATAAATACTGTGTGTTGCACACACTATTTATTTATTTGAATTTGGTCTTATTACCTTGTGTTTAGAGAAATTAAAGTTTAAAATAAGGTAAATCTAAAGGGAAAAATTAATCTACACATCCTATGAAAGATTGCATTGTCCTAATTTTTACTTACCCTTGTTATATAAACTCAATATATATAGAGAAAATATGTAAATATTTAAATGTATATCTGTGTAATATATATATGTCTTTATATACATAGATTTTATTTATTAAGGCACTTTATATATGTAAGTTTTTACATCTATTCAAAATTATTTTTAACAAATTTTTAAAGTAATTTTATTTGGTCTCTGGCCTTTTTTGTGGTTTTATCTTCCCAAATAGAATGAAATAACTTTCCATACATAAGTTAAGTTAGGGTAATGTATGTACACTTAGAAATGATAAAATGTTAGTCCAGAGTTACAGAGCAGACTAAAGCACTTGTTCATATAGTTCTATACTGACAGCAAGTCTTGAAGGCTGCTTGATGTTTACATTTTAAAAGCTAAGATTTATAAGTTGATAAGAGATACCCCCCTAAATCTTTCCTTTGATGATGATGTGGTCAATTATTTCTGTAAACTGTAGGAGAGTTCTCTCTGATACCAGTTTGTCAATTTCGCTTTTACAATTATTTTTAATGTGGTATATCTTTGTAGGGAAATGGGTTAAATATTATTACAGTAAAACCTCCTTGTAAAGGACACCTAATTGCAGAGCCAAAGTGTCCTTTAGGGAGAGGGGTCCTCTTACCGGAGAGTTGCTAAATAGTAAAAATGGTAATTTTGCAAATAAAAACTGTCCTTTGTGGAGAGGTGTCCTCTACAGGGAGGTTCTACTGTATTATAATAAGACTCACCAAGTCCAGCGCACACCATAGGACAGTCAACTGTGGTTAGGTATTTGGGATATACCACTGGTTGACATTTCTCTAATGGTTAATTGGAATATATAAAAGCAACACAAGGTTTACATAAGTCAATGTGATGGCTGGACTTTTGGGAGAAGTCGCTGCTTATCAACAGCTCGAGGAAGTATGAACTCATGGAATTTGTGTAAACTTTACACAAGGGGGTAAGAAAGTACAACGAATGTGAAAGCTTCACTACCATTATTGTTACAGTAGAACCTCTATGAGAGGACACCTCTCTATAAAGGACAGTTTTGATTGTCAGAATTACCATTTTTACTATTTAGTAACTCTCCAGTAAAAGGATACCTCTCTTTAAAGGACACTTTGGCTCTACAATTAGGTGTCCTTTGCAGGGAGGTTCTAGTGTATTTAACAACTTTCCGGTAAGAGGACACCTCTTCATAAAGGACACTTTTGCTCAGCAATTAGGTTTCCTTTACAAAGAGGTTTTACTGTACCACCATCTAGAGTACTTAGCATGAGAGAACTTTTAAAACCTATTTATAAATACTGGAATCTATACAGAACATCCAGTACTATAGATCGGAGAGTGAAGGATGAGTTAAGATGATTCAAAGATGATGTGTGTGTGTGTGTGTGTGATGCGATTTCTTAAAAGAAGTTGTTAACAGCTTCCTAGAATGTTGTTCCCATTTGGCATGAGTAAAAAGAATTTTGGCCGCCATTCTGCATGGTTTCATTCAGGAAAGAGAACATTTAAAACAAAGTATCCTCACCAAGTACTCTAGTCCTGAGGACAATGCTGTCAATTGATTATTGTCAAGTCTATATATTTGGCCATGTTAAGTCTGGCATGGTCAATGTAATGACCAATGGCAAAAAAAGTGTAATTCCCTCAAAGATTCACTTAATAAATGTACCTCTCTCTATAAAATTTTACAATGGAAGTTGTCATCAACTTATATTTGGAGCAGTTTTTGGACTATTAGAGCAGTTTAAATGGAATGTTACTTACTAATCTTGGATGGTCTTTAGTTATGGAATGAATACTGTAAACAAACGATTATGTATTTGTAATATGACAGAAGGATGGTCATTCATGTTTAAAAGCCACTTCTCCTTTTTACCTAATACCTTAAAACAATACATTTATTTGATCTTCTCAAAGCAGAACTTGCAGATATAGATAAATGAACAAGACATAACATCAGTTTTTAGGATGTTTTTGGCCATTTCATAACTCCCGTAGGATGTTGTGACTTTCCAGTCTTGATGAGAGCAATATCAAACAAATACCACAGGTATCTGGAAATTTCTTTATTTTCTGGAATTTTCTTTTTGAAGTTTCTTTTATCTTTATTAAACGTAATCTCAAGCTTTCTGGCATCTCTGTCCTTTTACAGGAGTACATAAAAACATAGAAACCCTGTTAAGATGCTAACTGGGTTATATATACATTTAAATATTATAATACAATATAATGCTGCTTATGATATTGTAGAACAAAATTTAACACTTATACCACAAATGTTTCTTTTGATTGAAAATTCGAAATTTATTTTAAGGAAAAATAACGATTATTTCTAACCTTAGAGATGAAGTATGATAGGGTGAATTGTGAAGAGTAATGATAAATGGAAAAATAAAGTTCCCATCCCTGGACACTTTATTTTTCCGTTTATCTCTCATTACTCTTCACAATTCATCCTATAATACTTCATCTCTAAGGTTAGAAATAATCGTTATTTCTCCTTGAAATAAATTTTGAATTTTTGTTTAAAAGAAACATTGTGATTTAATTATTAGAATGAGGGTAATATCCTCAACTTTTTATTTTTTTGTTCAAATGTGAAATAGCTGGTGATGTGATATATTCACTGATAGCAATCTGAACCTTGTGAATATCAAAGGAATCCATTGTTCTGAGGTGTTTATAAGGAACAAGTATATTTGCATATATCACTATATATATAGAGTGTATATAGTTCTATATTTGAAATGTATATCTGTGTATAGTGTACAAGTTTTTGAATCTATTCAAGATTTTTTGTAGAAATTTGTAAGTCTTTTTTGGTATCCTTATATTCTCCCAGATAGGATTAAAGATAATTTTCTATACTAGAAACTTTTTAAAAATACAGTTAAACCTGTCTATAGCGCCCTCTCTAAATAGCGCCTTCTTCTCTATAGCGCTCAATTTTAAACATTAAAAGTGACCTGTCTATAGCACCCCCTCTCTATAGCACCTTATTTTGGTGAGTCCCAAGAGGGGGCGCTATAGACAGGTTTAACTGTATACAAATAGAGAAACATTTTTTAAAATTATATAATAGTAATTATAGTTTTTTTTACTATTATTTAATTACAATAATAATTTTTCCAATTATCTCTTTTATAAAATGATTTAATAAGAGTTACTATTTATTTTACAAATCTTGTCATTGGAGTCTAAAAGTGCATATCTTTAGTTTCAAGTAATTTTCAGAAACAAATCCTGGAATTTGATATACTGTGGTTTCTGAACCCTTCTT